GATATGTATCGGATTCAGTACCACATACGAAAGTGACCCAGGTCGGATTTGAAAATATCGGATTTGTGCCGTTCACACTGTCATACCATGATCGGATATGGGTCGCATAGGGTCAAAAAAGTTGGATTTGATGCAGTTTTGCCTGCAGTGTTAACGTAGGCTTAGATGAATGTGTGTCAGATCTCTTCTTTAATTATATAACTTTCTTTTGTAATTGCTAAAAGTGAAAATGAATGGAAATAAACTTTCTGTTATAAATGTTGGTACTGATAAATCAGCAAATACCCAATATTATAACTAATGACTCTAATGAAAAATTACATAAAACCCAAACAAGCACCATCAGTGCAACTGCCAGTTAAAATTGGAAATCAGATTTTGTAGCAGGCAGCTGTGCCTCAGTATTTACCTACTAATCAGTAGATTGGTAGTTCAATCCTCTGGCATGCTAGTAAGTAAAAGCACTTTTACAGAGTATTTTAGGTCTTTTGTTTTAGCTTTTATTATGACAGTTGAGAGTGGAAAGGACATATGGTGTATCTGAATCCAGACCTCTGCGATAGCCTTATGGTATATGGGTCACCTGCTTTTCATCCTCTCCTGAAATTTGCTCATACAAGTGTTCTAACTTACATGAATGCTGTCGGAAAATCTTTTTTTCCCACGATACCTATTTGTGCCAAGGTAAATGTTTATGATGAGCACCATTTACACCAGCTACACCTTTCTTCTTGAGACCTATCTTGACCAAAATCCAAAATAAAAAAAATTAAAAAAATCACAGAATTTAGAACACCTTAGTTCAGCACCAACAATGTGCCATCATGAGGATGTGAAACATTTGAGATCGCAAGGTATAAGAAATTGTGCCAGATAATGGCGTTAGAGTGTGTTAGATAATGAGAAAACCTTCTTAAGGATAAACTGCATTAAAGGCCCAAAAGATTTGACTGTTTAAATCAACTATTCATAAGCTCAATCAGTCCACTCTCTTTTGTGGAGCCGTTTCATTGTAAATTACATAAATGAATAAGCTAACAGGGCTAACAGCTAACTGCCAGAAGCAGCCTGCCTAAAAGGTCCAATCTGGCCCATTTGCTGGGTTGGCATAGTGTGAAAGCTGCACAGACGGTGGGGAATGATGTTGGAACCTTTCAATGTATTGCTCCAGAAAGCTTTGTTTTGCATAAAAACAGATCAGAGTGATTGTCAGAAGTGGTAATTTCATCTGAACCAGAGATCTGAATCACCATCAGTCTAACATCCTTCTCACTGACAAAGGCATTATCCATGGTCTGCCATACCACACTGAAGGAGGGGGCTTAAGCCAACTTGGGAGTGTGTTTTGTGAATACATTTTTTGCTTCATAGGATTTTCTGGCCCAGCTGACTTGAGATCAAATTGGGAATTAACAAAAACAAATCCGACCCCTCTAGTGTATTCTAATTACACATCACAGCTGATTAGGAAAGGAAATAAAATCCAAGCCTTGCAGGTGAAACAGAAGATTCACGCAGGGTATTATGAGATATTAGTTAGGAGGACTGAACTAAACTGTAAAAGTGCGGAGGATTGACAAATACACGTTGGTGTGGAAAAAAGTATTTTCCCCTTTCCTGATTTTCTTTCATTTGTCACAGATACATGTTTCCGGTCAAACTAATTCTAATATCAGGCAAAGACAGCCCAACTAAATACAGAATGCAGTTTATAAATGATGAGTTCATTTATAAAGGCAACCAAACCTACCTGGACCTGTGTGAAAAAAACTGATAAGTCATTAATTAAGTGGGATTAACCACATTTACAGGATAGATGAGTTCATTTTCACTAAACTCGCCCAGACCTGATTACTGCCAGACATGTTGAATCAAGAAATCACATTCATAAAAGGAACGTCTTACCAACAGTCAACATGGCAGTCTTGAATTGGCCGTTCATGCTGGACTTGAATTACCTTTTCATAAAGGGCAAGATAGATTCGGATAGTTTTCCCACATCATCATTTAAAATTTGCATTCTGTATTTAATCAGGTTATCTTTGTCCAATATTAAAATTGGCTTGATGATCTGAAACATGTAAGTGTGGCAAAAAAAATTTAATAAAATAAAATCAGTAAAAGGTGCAAAGACTTTTTCATAGCACAGCACAGCATTTCTTCATCTCTGTGATCAGATGCAGTGATGAAAACTTCTACAGATAAGAAAGACTGCAGACACACAAGTACTAAAAAGTACCTCAGTGGTTTGAGATACAGCCATTTAAGAACACATTATTCGTATGACTCATTCTAGGTTGAAGCCCATCCTCTCTGCTGCTCCTTTTGAAATAAAAATCGGGAAAGACATTGTACAAATCTGAATTGGGAAGAACTCGAAATCATAAACAACCCAAACAAAGCAGAATCTGGTTAGCAGAACAAGGTTAAGAAAAAAAAAGTTTCATTAGTTGGTTTTTGAGAAACTGAGTACGAATAGGTTGGCATGAAGCAACTTGCTCACTGGCAGTTCAGCACTACTTATCAGCGGAGTGTGTCCAAACACATTTTCAGGTTTTACCATACTCACCATAATCAGTTATGTGAAGCATAACAGATTTTAATGGCTGCCCACTTGCCGGTCAAGAACTACCTTTTAAATTTAACTTGCTGCTTTTAAAGTCCTTCATGGCCTGGCCCCAGATTATATACTTGAAGTGTTGCCCCAGTACCAGCCAGAGCACAGCCTGCCACGCAGGAAACTCTTGACCGTTAACTACAAAAGGTGAATTACAGTGGACAGTATTTTCTATTAAATACCTTTAAAAGACGTATTGATTAAGCAAGACTTTCTCATAAATTCCCTTGTATTGTCACTCTTAACCTCTTAGTGACATTTTATTGTGGTGTTGGTGTTGTACTTGAGGCTTGCATGAACCATTTTAAACTACCAAACAATTTAGACAAGTAACTCTTTGAACTCTTGCATTTCCCCCCGCCTATGTGATTATATTATGTGTTTTTGTAAATTCATTTGTAATTTTGGTGTTGAAAATCCTCTATGAGCAAGCACTTGTGATGGTGGGAAGGAAAAACTCCCTTTTAACAGGAAGAAATCTCCAGCAGAATTGGGCTCAGGGAGGGACAGCCAACTGTCGCGACCAGCTGGAGTGGAAGGAAACGAGAAAATAAAAGAAAGAGAGCACAAGGAGACAGACTAGGAGAAGACAAAAGTGTAATGACATGCTGTCATTAAATAGTGGTATAGGTGAGTGGAAATGATGCAGAAATGACTGCGATGCTTATTGTATCATACGGTCCCGGGAATCACAGAAAGTCCCACAGCAGTCTGAGCCTATATCAGCATAACTAAGGGAACCCAAAATCAAAGCTTTATCAAAAAGGAACAATTTGAAGCCTAATCTTAAAAGTAGAGAGGGTGCCTGTCTCCTGAATCCAAGCTGGGAGCTAGTTCTACAGGACATGACAGCTGAAGGCTCTGCTGTTTCTAATTTTAGCAGTATTTCAAAGATGAAAGAAAGCAGCCCGACATATTTGTTTAATACATGCACTGAAGAACACATCCTGATCAAAAAAGACAAGATTGCTCACAGTGTTGCTAGAGGCCAAGGTAATGCCATCCTTTGTAAGTTTCTAAGTATCTGGTTAGACATCATGCTTCCAAGATTTTTAGGGCCTAATCTTTCTCTGAAATCAGGAGAAGAAAATTACTTCACATCCAGGCCTTTAAATCTTTAAGACGTGACTGCAGTTTAACTAATTGTCTTATACTATCTGCCTTCGTAGATAAATATAGCTGGGTATCATCTGCAGAGAACCGAAAATGTATGCAGTGTTTTCTTGTAATATTGCCCAAAGATTTAAGCACTGTAGTACTGGTCCTCATTCCTGGGGAACTCTTTGACTAACGTTTGTAAAACGAAGGCTCCACACTTACACAAATCACAATCTGTCTGAGAGATATGAATCAAGTGACTTAGTTCAACATCGTATTCTAGTCTCTCTGGTTAAAATTTGCATGTAAGCTTTAAGTAGGCTTTAATACTATATTTATAATTGTGATTAAAAGTTTTTTTATAGTAAAAGATTTAGATCTAATAGAAGGTTAGTTTGAAACCATGTAACCATGCAATGTTTGGTTTGTTATGCAGCCTTGGTACCTATAAAAAAATGAATTGCGTCATCGGTTCTAGAATATCTGTATCTGGATAAGCGATATTTTCATTAAAAAAAATGGTGACTCCCAATATTTTTTTTTATTTCAAATTAATTTTCAGTATTTCAAATGAATATGCATTTATAAAGTGAAAACAAGAAGAAGATAAATCCCAAAAAACTCACAACTGGACCACAACTTTTTGATTAATCTTGCTAATAGACCCCCGCCTCTCCAAAATAAATAAATAAATAAATAATTACTTCTTAACATATGACAGCCAATCCTCAGTGTACAACTTTTGTCCTTGTGTTGTTTTATAGCAACCACACAACTTATTGCTTTCTGTTGTTGTTCAGTTGTTTGAAACCAAATTTATGAGATGATGTCAAAAGCAGAGCTGTAGGTGTACGGCTTAAGTTAAGTGAATCTATCCAACTCATCAAGGGCACGTAACAAGTGACATTAAAACGGAGCTTCTCTCTGTCTTACCTTCTTCTTGGACTTGAACACATTACAGCGGAACACATTGCTCTGTCCATCTCTGGCAATGTAGCTGAAGATCTTCAAATCTTGGGAGTCATGAGACACGTAGAAGATCCTAAAAGAAAAGAAAATAGGTCAGAAACTAAAAAAGTGAATAAGATGCAAAACAACAACAAAACCTGGCAAGCTTTCAAAATGCATCTTAAGATGCAAAATGGGAAACAAGCCTATTTCTCTGGGATTTGAATGTGACAAATTTAAACATGATTTTGTTTTAATCCAAAAGGAAAGACATCAAACTGTAGATTTTAGATGGAAAAAGAAGCTGAGAAAGCTGTGATGGGGGTAGGACTATTTAAATAAATGACAGGTGCAAGCTCTTTTCAAAACTTCAGTTTTATTTATGTTATACTGCAAAAATGTCTGAAAGTCAGGTGGACTTAAAATCCAAGTAAAAGAAAATGCTTCAAATAACAACAGTGATATATTCCAGTGCACGCAGGAGACAGGGCGTTAATACCATTCTAACAAAAAAAAATACTCTGTGTGAAAGAGGATATAGGGAGGAACTAAGTTTGAGTCAAAAATAGAGTTGTGCTATAGGGAGAGATTGTGCGCAGCCAACAGTGACAAACTGTGCAATACCCTGCAGAGGAGGTAAATAGCAAGAGACAACTCTGGGAGTACAAAGGCAGCGCGAAACGACTAAACAATAACCTGTAGGCGTGAGAGCACTGTATGCGTTAACCCCCACTGTGGATCTAATTCATGATGACAAAAGAAAAAAGCTGGAGGGGTAAAGAGATGCCGATGATGATAAGGTGGCAAGAAAATTGGGAAACTGTCATATTTTGAAATGATATGAATGCTCACACGTAATGTTTTTACTTTTTCATCAAGAATCCACTGGAAATAAGAAATTACTCCACTTAATGCCATTTCCAACTGATGACACCTGCATTGTTTGCCTATCTGTATTTTACCAACTTACAAAAAGTTCTAATTTTTAAGTATGTAAGCACCTTGGTACTTGGGTTATGTTTTAAGTAGTGTGATCATATTCATTTTCCCACTATAGTTGGGATTATGTGTCTCAGGTTAAACTGATTGAGTTTTGAGTTTAACAGTCGGACATCTCTTCCGCAATCTGCAGTCTTTTAAAAGGCCAGTACCTCTGGTTTCACAAACACTTCCTGTCCTGCAGAAGTTTGTGGAAACAAGGCTCTTGGAACTGACCTCAGTGAAAGGTTTTTGTGGTGAGTTTTTAGGTTTAATTACTCAATTCAGATCATAGTGAATCAAATATTAAGTCAATTTTGTAAATGTTGGTCATGGTCAAGCGTCAGGAGGATTATGCAAGATATGCTCGCTGCACAAACCAGTGAGTGACACAGTACTGGTCTTTTATATCGTCTATGGCTTTTACCTGGGCAAAGCTGTAAAGGCTGCCATGATTCAGCTGGGCATCTAAGACCTTTCTAGGCCTGGTTTCGTATAGATTAAGACTCTGTCCTTCATTTATGTGATTTTTATTGCCCTTGTTTGCTGATTTGCAGCTTACAGCTCTTCTACCTTTAAATGCGCCTTCAGTACCATATGCACTGTATCTTTGTGTTTTTGAGCATAGTCCAATGTGTGGTTGGATTTTGACAGAAGAGGAATCTGAGGCCATTTGTTGATTAACAGTAAACTTGAAATATAACCGCAAAAAGTGGCGAAATCCTCAGGCAAAACGGCTCCCTAATTGGCCAATTAGCACCATGTTAAGGACCTGCAAGGTTGCTTGGGGTAATTTATCATAGCGAGACAACGGACAACCAGGGAAGAACAAGGAATTAGGTGAAGATTATGCAAATGATCCTGCTGCCTATGTGTGAGTATGTTACTGTACAAGGTGGCTTTGTGTTTGTGTGTGTGTGTGTGCGCATATTTTTGTGTATATGTGTGTTTGCCTACCAGTAATATTGTAGGGTCTGATCTGTGAACACTGTGACATTTTTGTGGTATTTATTTTGGCCTTTTTCTCTGGGAGCCACACTAGCTGAAGTTCTTGTGTTATAGATTGTGTCTTTGTCTGCTCAGCAGACTCTCAAAATACCACACACCCACACACACGAGCTCGCACATGCATGCACAGACACTGATTTCAGATCCAACGTGCTGCTGTAAAAGTCAACTTATAAGTGATGCATGAAATCATCAACAAGATTGTAATTTTTAGTTTTTAAACACATTAGGTTTACTTTCATACATTCATTTATTTTTGAATAACAAAAAGCCTGCTGTCACTTCCAGAGAGCAGGAAAGGCAATAAGAATTCAAATACAAGTTTAGTCATCATCTTGCACATATATTTGTTGTGAAGGGCTCATAAATAATGAGAATCAATTCAGTCCCCCATGTTTCCTAATCCACTTTGGTGTATTATGCCTTTGATTTTCAATGACTCCATTAGCTATAATGACAGTGCACTTATCAAGGACCATCATACAGACTGTAAACAAGCCAGCAGTGTGGCTGCCACTGTGTTTTTAGGTAAAAGAAAAAGTGTAGACATTTACATATGTAATGTGACTACAGCAGGCTTAAGCCTCCGTTAAGATAAATCATTTCATATTTATGGAGACATTTATGTGATAAATCTCTCTGCTGGCTTCTTATGTCTTACTGTGAAAATTGCTGGTTTATTTATGACTTACAATCATCTCTTATTCTAGAACTGCGTGTTTCTTGTCCTGCTGGACTTCTGAAATTCCAATTGAAATACAAACAAAAACAGTGGAATTCGATCATACATTCCTATAAAATTCCTCTAAGGCAGAAATCTGCACATTATTAATACTTATACCAAACATTCCAGCTGGATTCCTGCATGTTTCTACACACAGCATTCATCACCAGATTGACCCAAAGGTATTTCCCATAAACACAGTAAAGGCCAATGAATTGAATTCTGACTATTTCCT